ACTTTTAAATATACCAAACTAAAATATAAATACTTATTTATATATTATATAAATTTAATTTAAAGTTAATAAGAAAATTTTTTCAAAATTTAAATTTTATAACTGTACTAAATTCAGTATTTTGTACTAAATTTAGTACAGCAAATGGATAGCCATTAAGTAATAAACATTAAATCGCACTTTTTATTTTTAATCATAAGCCAATCGTTTATTTTTATATATACTGCAATCCTGTAAATTAATTTTGCCGTATCCATCAAGTTCTCTTTTTCAATGGCTACAATATCAATCGATATGAATAATACACTGATTACGTATAAAATTATTATGGGATAGTATTTTGTATAATATTGGGCTTAGTTGATTTTTTGTAAATTATTAACTTATAAGATTAGTAATTACATTCCAGGATTAGGTGGCCACTGTAGTATTGTAATACGTATGCACAAAGAATTTTTTGCAAGTTGACAAGTTGACCGTTTTATCTTTCCCTTTCATTATCGTAATAGTTTGGATAACCTTTCCTATGTGGACTTCAGTTGCAGGGTAATAATTGATGTCAAAATTTTTAATCAAATAAAATCAAACTTTCATGAATGTTTAATCATTATTCTCATTAATCAGGTTTTGTAAAAAAATGATTTGTAATATTTGTCATATACAAGAACCATGAGAACTGGAATTAGAAAAAGGTTAGTAGAAAGATAAATAATAAGAACTATTTCTTAATCTTCTCTATAATGGAATCAAAATAAAATTTAATTCTTTTTAAGCCCTCAAAACCATTTTTCCAAAAGCATCTAAAAGAGAAATTAAAAAGTATAGAGAATTGTTTTCGGATGTCAAAAATCCAGTATTAATTATTGTTCCAAATAGGCAATGGATTAATCAACATGGCCAAAATGCATATAATAATATTATGAATTCTTTCGCAACCGTAAATCTTCTCCCAAATCGACAAAGGGATAAAAATTCATTATATATTTTTCATTTTGAAGATTCAGGAGAACTTTTTAATGCACGTGAAGCTGTCAGACCTCAATACCCAAATGTTTTTTTCATTCAACCTTCTCTTCAAGCCCTCATTCCAAGTGGTCAGTTTGAACCAGTTGGTAAATCATGGTTTCTTTTTATAACTAGTGAAGCTAAGATCGATTTTGCAAGTAATCCTAACTTTTTTATCCGGCTTTAATAAGGTAATTAATTATTTAAATGACTATTTAATAAGAATCTTTCTCTTTTACTTTGAAAAATTTAAATTAACTGGTTTAGGTATATTTGCCGTACATCAGCTTATCTTATAATTTATATTGATTTTAAAATTTATATTTATTTTAAAATTTATATTGATTTTAAAATTTATATCGATTGGAAATGTGATGTACGTCAATTTTGACTACAGTACACGATTTGATTGATTTAAAAATGCATGGAGAAACATGTAAATAAATAAAATTAATTTAGTTTACCTTTAATCATCTCTTTTATTCATTATGACATCAAATAATTTGCTAGTTTTTTATTTTCATCAATGTAAGTAATTGAAAAATAAAAGATATATCTTTTATAATATATTCATTGTTTAATAACATTTTTCAAAACTTTACAAGTACACATGAAATTCAAGGTTTAAGTATTGAGGCTCTTTGAGTATTTAATCACGGTGCAAAAAATTGGCAGTCCCGTGATTAATCTGACAATGATATTATTCTAATTTCTTTTAATTTCTTTTAAATATTAACACTTGCATTAATAAAATAGAAATAATATATTTAAACTTTTGTGACCAAAAATTTAATTAATAACAGAAAGCTAGATTCTATCCATAGCAAATTTATGAGTTTTTGCAATTTTTTCATCTTTATTTTATTTGCTTCTTCAAATTTGTATATTACACATTGATCTTACAATCAGATTTGGTAAAAATCACGGGACAGTCAAATTATGCTATGACTATTTCTTTATACCTTTAAGTTGAAAATATTGAGAACTAAAGATTAAATTTCAAAGTTCATTATTATGATAAACTAACAAATTGTCCTACTTGTCAAGATTATCAGGATATGGAATATGTTTCGATATTATTCTACTTGGCACTTTATCTTCCTGAAAAATGCTAAAATTACTATACACGACTAAAAATAATCTGATGATTCAAAATAAATGACTGAACAAGTAAAAAGCAAGAAATTAAACTTGTAACAGAACAAACTGCAATTAAGAGCTATTCATGTTATACACTCCATGTCAGAAGTTCTGTAGACGTGTATTACGAGATGAATAGGTAGTACACATTAGTGGTTATCGTTATTACAATATTGTCAACAGATCATTGTTTTTTAATAACTATATATCAAAATTTGTAAGATTTTATTGTTTAAATCCACTTAAATTTTCAAGGTCAAACGTCATTATTTTTTTTGTTTTTTTGTAATTTTTCTTATAATAAGTACTTGTTATTGGTCATATTGTTGATGTAAACTGATTATTCACTAGTATACTGGTAAATAGAAAATATGCACCAGGTTGGTGCACCACATGTGTCACATGCACCATAGCAGCAAAAATGTATGATAACAAAGGTAAAAAAAATAAAAAAATACTGGATTTTTTTAGCATAATAAACATACAGTAATTCAAGCGAATTTTGAATTTATAATGTCAAATTATTAATACATATTATAAATAGCATAATCGCTATAAATACATAAAACATTTAATTTGGTAAAATTACTGTAAATACAGTGTCTTAGCTCTCTAAAAACAATTTTATTCCCTTTAGCTAGTAGGTTCACATTAGTCGCATTGTTGTTTTGGATGTTTCTTGAAATTCATTAAACCACTCTAAGGTGCTTTCTTTGTTATTAATATGCTGTCCAATTATTACATTTTCTGCAGTAATAATAGATTCTAATCCACTATAATTTTCAATTTTATATTCATAACTTGATGGAAGTATTCATTGGAGTGGAATAGATAAATCTGACAATTTGTTGAAGTCCTAAATATGTTTTTATTTATTATTAAGTGTTGCCAACTAAAGTAAAATTTTGAACTTTACACGATTATACCTGTAATAGATTTTGAGAAATAGGTACGTTCAATAATTTTGAGTCCTAAATTTTATATGAATATTAAATTTTTTATGTTTATAACTATTTATTTGTTCTTTTTAATACAAACTTGTAACGAATTTTGCATTTTTACAATTGCGATAAGAAATATTTTTGTTATTTACATTATTTACA